ACTCCAGCACATGGCATGGGGCTGGCCCCCAAAAAATGCTCAGGGAGTGTTTGCTGCCTGCTTGCCTGAGTAAATGAATGAGTGAGTGAGTGAGTGAATAGGTGGGTAAATGACAGCCACCTCAAAGCCATTCCCCAAAGAGCTAGGGCCTGGGCTTTATTCATCTGAGTATTGTGCTGCCCGACAGAGGCCTCAGTGTTGTCCTCCATGAATGTTTATAGGATGAATAAGTGGCCTCCTAGGAACCCCTCCTCCTCCTCCCCCTCCTCTCCTCTGCCTCTCTGTGATCGCAGCCCCTCCCGGAATAGAATCAAAGTAGACTCCGGCATTGGAGAGAAGCAGACCTTCACTTCTGCTCCTTCCTGCCCAGCTGACAGGGAGCTGAGGGCTGATGGGCCCTCACCACGATGGAGCCAGGGGTGGGTGCCCTATGGTGTGAGGCTAGGGGTACAGGCCCTGGCTGGGGTTGACACCCTGGGGCTCTGCCACCTAAAAGCTCTGTGACCTTGTGCAGATCACTTCCCCTCTCTGTGACCATTTCCTAATCTGTGAAATGGGGCTAAAAGCAGAACTCTCCACAGAGGCTGCTGGGAGGTTGCAGGGGGCATAGGACAGGGTGCACATGGGGCGTGGCACAGGGGGGCATTCAGTAAATGTGTGTGCTATTATTAGTACTAAGGTGTGCATTGTATGTTCGAGCTCCCCCCTCCCACTGGCCTGGGGGAGCCCCCTAACGCCCTCTGCAGCCAGACAGGCAGGGAGAAATGACAAAAGGCAGGCAGGGCCAAAGGCCCCAATTCCTTGTTCTTTTGATAAAAATAAAGACAGCTTTTAGATGTCCTTCTCCTACACATTGTTCTGCCAAGACGAGCAGCACAGACTCAATTCCTCCTCGGACTTGGAAAGTTCCTTCCTTTCCTTCCCCTCCCCTGTCACATTTCCTTTATCTAAATCCTCAGCTATGAAAGGGCATATCGACAGCTGGGGGCGTTATCTGGTGGAGGGGACCTTTCCTAGGGGTGCCTCAGAGATAAGGTGTCTTATCAGCCCCCATGTCAGGGCCGGTGCCAAAGCATTCTAATCATTGAGGCTTGTGACATTTCCCCCTTCCTCCTCCCTTTTTTATTATTAAAGTCACAAAAGACCTTGGGCTTATAAACAGCCTGATTTGCAGATAGGGTTTCAAAATGAGCAACTCTCCCAGGATGGTCCCTGGCTGGGGGAGTAATGAGTTGGGGTGGAGGGGGCCCCCGAGGGGCTGGCTTTCTGCAGATGGGAAAGTGCCAAGCAGAGAGGGGGCAGGGTGGGGTCATGGGAAGATCATGAGTGTTCTAGGCACTTGCTCCAGTCCTGTCTCCAGCTTGCTGTGTGACCTTGGGCAGGACGCTTGGCTTCTCTGGGCCTCGGTCACTTCATCTGACAATAACCAATTCAGCCATTCATTCAACACCTATTTATTAAATGATTACTCTTTGCCAGGCACTGGGGAGAGAGAGACAAATAAGACATGGTCCTTGCCCATGAGAAACTCACAGTCCAGTGGAGAGAGACAAACATGAACACTGGCGATTACGATCTGTGTGATGAGGGCTGTGAGGGGGGATGCCCAGAGGAGGGGAGAGCTGAGCCCGAGTCTGAGTTGAAATGGATCAGGGCCCAGCACAGATAAAGGTTTGGAGAGAGGGCTAGGAGAGATGGGGGTGGGAGGGGGGCAGGTCGTGGGGGTCGTGAGGGCCAGGCAAAGAGTGTTGGGCTCTATTCTGAGGCCAGAGAGTTTTAAGGCCAAGGAGAGGGGTCTGACTTGGTCGTGTTTGTAGATAACAGGACGATACAGAAACTGGAGGTGGCAGTCCACGCATCCTCGTGCTGGGCTGGCTCCTGCCCCCCTCACACACTGGACCCCCACCTGTCCCAGCAGCAGGGCACAGGGTTCCTGGGAGAATGGGCAGCGAGTTAGGGGGATTAGGGGTGCAGAGAGAGAAGTCCCTGCTCTCCAAGTGAAGACAGTCTCTGAGGCTGCAGGGCCCTGCCTGCTGGTCCTCCAGAAACGAGGGATGACATAAAAGATCAGGCGGTTGCACCAGAAAAGCTGAGTTGAGGCCTTAACGTGGATAACGTCTCCTCGGGGAGTCCTCTGTGGCCCCCTGAGCTGGGGCGGGTGACCTCTCTTGGGTCCCAGAGCTGCCCGTGCGTCCACCATCAGAGCACTCTGAAAACAGGAGCCCCACTGGGAGGGCGGTTGATGGGGTCAGGAGAGGCCCCAGGAAAAGCAGCCTGCCCCTCACCCCATAACCACTGCAGCCCCCAGCCTGCGCTTTCCACCTGCAACACATCTGAGGGTATATGGGCCCTGGGGTGTTGTGGGGGCCTGGAGAGAGGCAGGGCTTCTGGGCCCCGGCACCGGTGAAAGGCCAGAGTTGGGGAGGACCTCCCATGGTGGGGCTGGGCATGGCCAGGACGCTGGAGAAACGTGACCTGGGAGGGATCATGGAGCTGCTTTTACAAGGCCAGAGAGGGGCAGTAGCTCCCCTGGGGTCACACAGCAGGCACTAGGGATGGAGGAGGTTCCAGGCTTCCCGCCCAGGTCTCAGGGCACCAGGTCACTGGCTCCCTTCTTCCTGGCCCAGTGCGGCCGTGGCCTGTGGGCAGCAGTGCAGCCCAGTGGTGAGGGCAGGCTCACCCAGCCCCTGCCTGCTGGGTGGCCCTGGGCAGGGTGCTGCTTCCCTCAGGCTTGGGCCTCCCATCTGTGCAGGGAGAGGCTTGGGCCCTGCAGCCGGCCGGCCTTCCCCGGCTCTCCCCGCTGTCCCCCAACCCCTGCGTCAGAGCCGTGAGAGGTGGACGCTGCCCTGGGCTGGAGCGAGGGAGAGAGGCCCGGCTGTCGGGGCGGCTGCAGGCCTCTTCTTACCTTCCAGGTGTGCACACGATCGTGTGTCCCCGTACACTGCCTTCACGTGGGTGAGAGGGGGCCAGAGGGCGTGTCACACGCTGTGAGCAAGGGTGTGACGGTGGTGTGCCCACCTGCAGGAGAACGTATGTGGTGAGCATGCACGGGCACGCAGATGCCGAGCATGGGGGGCGGCGTGTCCGCCTGTCCCCGGGTGTCCAAGCAGGGCAGAGTGTGCCCACGTGTGCAGGTGTGTCCTACAGAGCCCCAGCGAGCCCTGCTGCCACCGCCGCTCACGTCCCCCGTCCCCAAGGAGCGGCGCCTCACTCCACAGTCAAGGGCTTCCATCCCCGCCATAAGCGCCACTTCATTCCCTTTTTAAACTGTATAATTTCTGCCTGATTGTAATGGCGTATTTTAAAATTACCAGAAATCAAAGCCGGGAAGTGGATACTGCAGCTTTTATTGCATGGCTGCGTTAAGGCTGGCGAGTTGGGGGGAGGGGGATGAGAACCACTCCCCTCCCCCATCCATCCCCTACTCTCTCTTTTTTTTTTTTTTTTTTGAGACAGTAATAGGAGAAAATTGGTTTCGAAACTGAATAAAAGTCCCTTTCAGGGTAAATCATTTCTTTCAGGGTACCTTTGCTGAGAGTAAAATAGAGCATAATGAAAGGTGGTTACGCGACTGTCTCTCATTTACCGAGAGGCCAGGACAGACAGGAGGCTGCACCCGTCTCGGGAAATACAAGATTGGAATAATTGCGCTGTAACAAGGAGCTTGTTGTGAAATTAGTATCTTAAGAAAGTAGTGAAAAAAGGCTTTTCCTCATGAATACTTCATTATTAGAAGAAAGAGCAGAATTTAGGGCTCCAGACACCTGTTTAGTATTAAATAACTTCCCTTTCTTCCCCTTAAACACACACCCCCTCCTCTGTCTGCTCCTTCTGTCTTAAAACCAGCCCGAGGATGGAGCTGGCCCAGCCTGGCTGCTCAGGACTTGGGGCTGGGGTAGGGTGGGGTCAGGAGGTGGTGGGGAAGGGGTGCCCGGCTGGGTGGACATCGGGGGTGTCCAGGGTTGAACTCACATCTGGGCTGCCTTCTCCTTACCGGGAAGAGGGAGGGAGGGGCCTGGCTGGGAACCTCCCACTCTCTCCCAGGGGCCTCCAGAGCAGGCCTGGCCTGTGTCATCAGGCTCCTCAGGGGCCCTGGGTTCTGGGAAGGTGGGTTTTGTGAAGATGGAAATGTGAGTTTCCCTGTGAACGAACGCTGGGCATCTGACTCCGGTGAGCAAGCAAATGTGGACCTGTCTGGAGCCGCATCTGAGCTGCCACCCATGGGAGACCTCTGCCCCGCCTGGCAGGGCAGAGCTGCCTTCCGTGGCCCTGCCCTCTCCGTTTGGGGTAGGGAGCTCACTCAGGGAGCCCCGGTGACCCTTGGGGCTTGGACTCAGGGCTTAAAGCTCAGCACGGGTCAGGATGGGAGCACCCCTTGTTCTCCCAGGGCTGGCATCCTGGACATCTCCCCTCCAGAGGTGCTGTGAGAACGCCCCAGGCCAGGGGCAGACCAGCACTTCAATAAACTGGAACCCATTCGCCTACTGGCAGTTTCTGGGCAGCCTCCGTGTCAGTTCCAAAGATGACCCAATGAGGTCTTGGCCCTGGATGAGCTCAAGGCTGAAGGGGGCGCTGCAGATCTGTTCACAGTTGGTTACAAGAGAGCTGGAGGCCACCACTGCAGGAAAGACAGCCTGCTGAGGGAACACGGCGGGGGTGAGGATCTGACCAGGCTGGGGGCGTCAGGGAAGCCCCTTGAAGGAGGTGACCTGCATGCTGAGCAGGGCCAGGGCATGTCTGGTCACAGGGGAAGTCTACCACTCAAAAGACCTGGATTCTCTTCTTTCCTGTGAGGCCACAGATGAGCCTCTTGATGTTTCTGGGCCTTGATCTCCGCATCTGTCAAATAAGGGAGAAAGGGTGTCTGCTTTAAAGTCTCCAATGTTCTGCAGGATAGCGGGGAGGGAGGCTGCTGGCAGCGACTTGCAGCTGGGGAAGTGGGAGGGGGCGTGGCACAGCCCCATGTGACGAGCACCTCATCTCCTTCCTCACAGGGATCCCGCCGCAGAGCGCGCCCCACCGTGGGCCCCCAGCTCAGCCATGCTGGCCTGTCTGCAGAGGACCCAGAACCCACCGGGCCAACACCTGGCCTGCCCGAGCAAGAGCCTGGAGCTGCGCAAGTGTGAGTGGGCACCCTTGCCCTGCATATACCCTGCATGCCTCCCCGGCCCCTCCCCGTCAGCCCTCCCCTCCCTCTGCCCACTCTGAGCCCATGGGGACTTTCTCTCTGTTCCTGGACACACCACGCTTTTCCCACCAGGCAGGGAATGCCATCCACCCTCCAGCATGTCCACCCACCACGACCTTGTCTTGAACTCTCCGAGTTCTTCTAGGCCTTTGCCCACGCTGTGCGGCCTCCCTGGGGACCCTCCCCCACCATGGCACCCACTCCCTTTGTCCAGCCGACTCCCACTGGGCGTGACCTTCTTCCCAGCAGCCTTCTTGACCACTACCAGCACTGTACCCCCCACCATGAGCCATGTCTCACTCACCATCATTTTCCTGCATTAGCAGAAAGCAGGATAACGGCGGAAGCAAATGGTCCTGAATGGGATCCCAGCTCGGGGCCTGATTCGCTGTGTGATCTCGGGCATGTCCTTTCCCTCTCTGGGCCTTCCTCTTTCAATGTGTCAAATTAGGGAGCTGGACTTGGTGACCTCCAAGGGTCTGTCCTCCTTGACCACCTAGGACAGGAATCCCAAACCCTCTGATCTGATTATTTTTGACCACCGTAGGGTTTTTAAAACATCTAAAGTATTTAGAAACATTTAAAAACAGGGAGATTTGTATAAAACTCTGGATTTCTAGTGTCTCTTGAAAAAAAATCAGAGGATCTAGTAAGTAGGCCTGTGTTCCCATACTGCAGCTGTTGGTTGGAACTGAACTATAGCCTCTTTAAAGGGGACACCCATCTCCAGTTCACCACAGTCCCCACCCCTCCCTATCGCCTCTGTCTTGTAGCACAGCATCAGTTGACATTTACCATTCTGCTTACACTGTTGCTTTTTTTCTTTTTTAATATGGATTTGGCTTTAGACATGGTAATACATTCTTGTGGTCCAGTATTCAAGAGGAATAAAGGGGCGTACAGGCAAAAGCGTCTCTCTCCCCACTGTTGCCCAGCCCGGTCTCCTGTCAGAGGCAGCCGTGTTGTCAGCTCCCTGTGTGTCCTCCCAGGAAATGTTTTACGCACATCCCAGCAAATACGTGTGTACACACTGTCCTGCACCTCACTTTCTCACTCAGCAATACGTCCTGTATGTCAACAGCTAAAGAGCCTCCTCATTCTTTTGCCCTATAGTTTTCCATAGCAAGGATGATCCATAATTTATTTGACCAGTCCCCTAAGTAGAACCATACCCAACCTGTTGCCATTACAAGCAATGCAGCAATAACAACTGTGTATGTGTCCCAAAGGTGTGAACAGAACTATAGGATAAATTTCTAGAAGTGGAAATTCTAGATCAAAGGTATGTGCACTTGTAATTTTGATAGACATGGTCTGACTGACTTATCTATGCGTCTCCTTGGTCCTTTTTTCCAATCGGGTTCTTGTCTTTATTGATTTGTAGGAGCTCTTTGTATATGATGGAAGTAGCTCTCTGTCTGTCATGAATCGCAGATGTTTTCCCCAATTTGTCATTTTTCTTTGATTGTGCCATGGGGAGATTTTCTCTGTGAAATTTGTATTTCCTTTTATGGTCTTTGGATTTTGTATCATACTTAGAATGTCCTTCCTCAGACTGAGGTTATTTAAAGAAACAAACGAACCAGCTCCCTAAGGTTGCTTCTAGTTCTTTTATGGTTTAACTTTTAAAATATATGATCTCTGATTGTTCTGTAATTTATCTGGTGTGAAATGTGAGGTGTGGCTCCAAGTATATTCAAGTGTCTGTGCAATACTGTTTTAATTGTTGTAGAGTTAGAATACATTTTTAAAAATTTTAACAGCTTTATTGAGATATAATTCACACACTACACAATCCACCCATTTGAAGTGTGCAATTCCATGGTTTTTGGTATATTTACAAAATTTTGCAACCATCACCACAGTCAATTATAGAGCATTTTTATCACTTCAGGAAGAAACCCCTTACCCATTAGCAGTCACGCCCTTATCCCCCTACCTGCTTCTGTCTCTATAGATTCCTCCGTTCTAGACTTTTATAAGAAGGGAATCATTCAGTACGTGGCCTTTCGTGACTGGCTTCTTTCACTTAGCGTCATGTTTTCAAGATCCATCCATGTTGTAGTGTGTGTAAACACCTTTTAGTATTTGCCGGTGCTTCTTCCTTGTTAATCATCATTTCCCCACGCAGAATTTCCTTGGCTGTTCTGTTTGTTTTTCTGTCTGAACCATAGAATCAACTTATCTGGGTAAGAACAAAAGTCCTATGTGTGTTTTTACTGAGATTGCATGAAATTTATAAATATAGTTTAGGAAGAAATGACATTTTTATGATGATGTCTTTCCCTCCGAGAACCTGATGTGTAACTTTCCCTTTCTTCAGACTTCCTTTTGTGACCCTTGGGAATGTGTTAATATTTGCTTCATTTAGATCTGGCACATTTTTTTAAGTTTACTTCTGGATAGTTAACCTTTTTTGACTAGTCTTTTCTTCCATAAATGGAGATTGTTTATATAAAAGCTATTAACTCCTGCCACCTCACTGAATTCTTTTATTGTTTGTAATGGTTTTCCAATTTAGTCTCTTAGGTTTTCCAGTTATACTATCATATCATTTGCAAATGATCATTTTACCTCCTACTTTGGAAGTTTTATACCTTAATTTCTTTGTCTTATTTAATAGTGTTGGCTACTGTCCCTAGAACAAGGAAAAATAATAGTGGTGGTAACAGACATTCTTGATTTTGTCCCTCACTTTAATGTGAAGCTTCTAGGATTTCCCCATTACACAAAATGCTGGTTTGGAGGGCAGATTTTTCATTAGTTTAAATAAGTGTCCATCTATTCCTGTTTTATTAAGAACTTTACAAATCAAGAATGGAAGTTGAACTTTACCAAATGACTTTTCAGTGTCGATGAAGATGATCATATCGTTTTTCCTTTGACCTATTAATATGGATAATGATATAGAGTTCTTAATGTTGAACTATCCTTGCATTCCTGGTTGAATCCCACTTGGTTACAGTGAATATTTCATTATAATATACTGCAAGATTGGATTTGCTATTTTATTTAGTTTTGCTTCCAATTTCATCAGCGAGATTAGTCGTTTTTTTTTTTTTTGGCACAATTTTTGTTGGGTTTCGCTATTGGTGTTACCCTTGCTTCATAAAGACAGTGGAGGCTTTCCTTCTTTCTCTGTGCTTTGTAACAGTCTCAGTAGAAGTGGATTATCCGTTCTTTAAAGATTGGTTGATCCTTCATGAGACAGTCTGAGCTATTGCATTTACCTGGGGCGGGTGGGTAGCTCTTAAATAATGTTCTCTATCTCTTCTGTAATAATTGATCTGTTTTCATCATTCTGCTTCTTGAATGAGTTTGGTAAATTACGTTTCTCTAGAAAAGTGTCCATTTTATCTAGGTTTGCAAATTTATTTGCATGAAGTTGCACAAAATAACTTAAATTCTTTTAAATGATTATTTCACCTTTATTTCTCATATTGTATATTTTGTGCTCCCCCCCCATTTTTTGATTAGGTTATTTAGCTAATGAGGTTATTGATCCCCCTTTCCCAAAGATCCATCTTTACGATTTATTAGTAATTACCCTTTTCTGGTTTCTAATTCATTCATTTATGCGTTCATCTTTATTAAAATTCTCCTCCTGCTTTTTTTTTTAATTTCTTGAGTTAGAGACTTAAATCTTTATACTGATAAACAGAAAAAAAAAATTAAGGCTATGAATTCTCTGAGCACTGCTTTAGCTATATCCTATAGATTCTAATATGTAGTATTTTTATCATCATTATTTTCTAGATATTTTCTAATTTTGGCTTTGATTTTTTTCTTTGACCTAAAGCTGAGTTCGACCTATCCACCCAGATAATAGGTGCTTTCGCATTTTGTTATTTCTAGTTTTATTGCATTATATTCAGAGAATGCTGTCTATGATTTCTGCTTTTTTGGACTTTAGTGAGATTTTCTTTGCGATATATTCTATGGTCATTTTGGTGAGTTTTGTGACTTTTTAATGGGGATGCAAAAAGAAGATGTGGCTCTGTTTTCAGGACTCAGACTTTGGTGGATACCAATTATATCTACCCCATTAATTATGTTAGTTAGGTCTTCTATACCGTACCTGTCATGGACAGAGAAATGAATTAGATGTCTACTGCTAATGTGTTCCAGTCTATTTCTTCTTGTAGCACCTATAGCTTTGGCCTTATGAGTGGTGATGCAATGTTATTTAACACATAGATATTAACACCTTAAATCTTCAGAGTGAATTGCATCCTTCTTTGCCATATTTAATACTTTTGGGGCAGATTCAATTTTATCTATTAAGATGGTAATCTCTGCTTTTTTAATTCACATTTTTCTTGAAACTTTTCCCAATTCTTTTATTTCAACCTTTCTGAATTGCTTTGTTTAGACATGACTCATATACTATAGAGTTGGATTAAGCTTTGTGATCCAATCTGAATGCCTTTTACAGAATATTTTAATGGGAGAGCTTAGCCCATTTTCATTTATTGATATGACAGACGTCTGTAATCATAAGGAAGGTTGGTGTTTTTAACTTTAAATAATACCCTAGTTCTCTATTTCTTTGGAACAGTATCTATTACATTCCCTAAGATGAACAAAATGATAAAATCAGCGCACTTCCTTTTTCTCTCTGCAGCATCTTCTGGGAGTTCACTTTTAAACCTCTGTTACCTGACATCAGCTTTAAATGGTACCTTTTGACCCCAGCCACTGAAGATGAGAACATCGTGAACTTACACCACCATCCATCTCTCCCCTCTTCTGCTCCCTCCTGTCATTAGCAATACCATGACTCTATTCCCCGGGCTTGTCATGTCAGCATCTGGTTACATCACCAAAGTCCCACAGCTGTTTCCATCTCAGCCTCCTGGATAAACAGGGTCAGTGCTCACCACCAGTCCTGTGGCCTTACTTTCCCATCATCCGAAGTTGGCCCTCGAGTCTGT